GCAGCCCAAGTGCTTCTCTGGTATAAAGTATAACAAAAGATGGCAGTAGTGGGGCAAGAATTATCTGATGCAAATTAAAGATCTGAGAGTTTAATTATGTTGGAAAACATGAACTTATATTTGGTGATAACAACTTAAAAAATTGATATGGACGACACCTTCTTTGTTGACACTGTTGCCAGGATCCCAGTTATGCTATGCCAATCAACAACAGTCAACCAGCTTTAACTGCTGTGACAACGAGTTCCCAGAGACTCTGGGATGATAGATGAAGCCTACATTTATCAAGGAAATTATCTGCTTGTATAACATATTTACAATTTTGTTTTACATAAAACATGTAAGCTAACACATTCATAACGTCCAGATTAAGCACCAAGAAAGCGAAAATTTGACAATTTTCAGCAAATATAAGATTTCATAGTATCCACTTACCTAATTATTTTTTTCTTATTGTTTATGTAATCAGAAAATTATTTTATAATGAATTTTCAATATTATCTGTCATCACCCGTTTCCTGATAACATTGGCTGTCCGCTCAGTAACTTGAGGAAATACCTTGACATACCTCCGTTTTTAAAGCTTTGTATGAATAACATGTGTGTTGGTTCCTTCGATGTTGATTTGAAAGCTTATGGCATCAAAAGTGTGTAAGTAACCTCCCCTGGAGCCTGTCCATAGCTGTAACATGCGATTTTGTTGGATAGAAAATGGTTTCTGATGACGCCTTTCTTGCTGAAATCTGCTACAAGATTCAAGATTTAAATTTAAGCAAGTGACCTAAGGCAGCCAATCAAATTACAGCAATGGTCACCATCCTCATGTGTGAGAAATTTCAGATTTAGACAAAAGGTTTGGTTAGATCGTGTTATTCTGGACATATAAAGCAGGAAATTGTGACCTATTTTAAAAATATGGAACTTTGTGGATGTATTGTGCTAGGTTACGAGCTGTGACAAAGATTTGTCATGCAAAAAATTTGGCATTTAACATTACATTACATTACACGTGATCACACAATAAGATGGAAATAATAACTTGGATGTAAGTTTGACAACTTTAAGATATTTTCTTTAAAAAATTTTTTATACTTTATTTGAAGATTTGCTTGAAACACCTTTAGTTTGCTCTTTGACATAAGGACCCTTTTTCGAAGTGTGTGTCTGAAAATTATTTTTTTAAATAACATTGCGGGAAACAGTGAATATATATTTAATGTATTGATAAAATATGATAAACTGAAATGAAATACGTATTTCAGGCATTGTGATCGATTTAATAAATGAATTATATATAAAATAATATATACTATTTTGATGTGGCTATGGCTTGGCCTGGGTACTGGCCTGCTGTGTTGAAAGAGTTAAAGTATTACCAGGCAATATATTTATATATTGACTGAAAATTTCAGTCAAAATGCATATTGACTGATTCACTCAGGCAATGTATGTATTGACTTAAATTTTTAGTCAATATGCAACTTGCTTGAAAAATGGGACTGGATTTAGACAGATGAATGAGACTGAAATGAATTCGACTCCTTAATTTAATCTCCTCATTTAATTAGGATCTATTTTGATATTACAAAGGTCAAATGAACTTATGTGAGTAATTAAATGTTTCCACAATGAATTGAATATTTGAGCTCTTTTTTATGTTACTTATCTATACTCAACAACAAAAGTTCCTGTGACACCAATATTTTAGTGTATTTTTCAAACAAGTAAAGTGTGGTTTTCAATATTGTAGTACATGTATGGAATCAAGTCACAGAAACGCAGCTGCTACAGAAAAGCATGCATTCCATGCCATGTGCGTTAACAGGATTCCATATGCATTGTTTAGCATCGTGCTGACAACAACCACTCAGAAAAACAACAAAATTATGCAATTATTCAACATTACGAAATTCCATGCCTGTCCGAAAATGAGCGTCTGCGAGCCATTGGTTTGCTTGAAGCAGGATCAAGTCAATGTGATGTGACAATTTAACGTCCACAGAAACACCATTTGGTGTTTATGGCAACGTTGGCAACAGACGAATGCAGTCAGAGACCATCCTCGGAGTGGCAGGCCACGCGTAACCAATAATCGACAAGACAACTGGATTCGAACACCACACCTATGAAATCGATTCCAGCCAGCAACAGTGACTGCAAGAAGCATTCCTGGTCTTGGACGAATATCTTCACAAGCTGTACGTCGTCGCCTCAGATGTGCAGGGATTGTCCCCAGAAGATCCGCCAGACGTCCCATTTTGACAGGAAACCACCGTCAAGCACATCTGCAGTGGTGCAGACTGCATCTACGCTGGACGGCCATGCAGTGGGGACAATTTCTATTCACTGACAAGTCTCGTTTTCACCTCAGCCACAGCGATGGACGGATTCGAGTGTACCGATGTCGAGGTGAACGTTACGTCAATCATTGGAAGTAGATCGGTTTGGGGGCGGCAGCGTTATGATAGTGGGTGGGATTACAGCAAGACAGAGGACCGGTTTGATAGTGGTAGAGGGAAATCTCAATGGACAGCACTACCGCGACGAGATCATCGGCCCTGTTGTTCTACCGTGTTTGCGTCGTCATGGCCCAGGCATTACCTTTCAAAAGGACAACACCCGGCCTCATATTGCTCGACTTGTTCAGGATTCTCTTCCTTCAACAAAACAATGTGAATGTCATCCCCTGGCCGGCTCGCTCCCCTGATCTCTCACCAATCGAGCACATGTGGGATGAGATGGATCGGCGCCTTCGACGTCAACCACGTGTTCCACAGACACTCCAGGAACTTCGAAACATGTTCCAGCAGATATGGACAGATATCCCGCAGGACTTTGTGCGACGCCTGGTCCATTCCATGAGACAAAGTTGTGTTGCTTGCATCCCAACCAGATGTGGACACACACGCTATTGATTTGTGAATTGACATTTTGGCATGTTCATGGTGTTTTTATGAAATCACACATTTTCTGAAGTCAGTATGGCAAATTAAACCATTTGAACACCTACAGGAGTCTTTTATCTGTTGCAAACCGAAACTGTTTCAGATTTGGTAAAAAACATAACTTTGCATTAAATCTTGTTCAATGTCACAGGAACTTTTGTTGTTCAGTATATATTGACATAACATGCAGTTCAGCAACAGATAATGACTGTTAAAAAGTCATGCATGTGTAATATCTAATACTAGCACAGTATGCACAAGTATACCAAGATATCAAATACAATAATTACAGTCATTGTGCAATGCAGATATCAATTGATGTAAAGAGACAAAAGAATACCATTAATAATTTGTTTACGTGGGAATTTGAAATATCAGTCTCGACTAAGGAAACATAAAAAACAAAGCCTAATGAAAATTTAGAGTGAGCTTTATCTATATTACAATCATCTGATGATTGTCAAGGCAAACCGGATGTAGACACTGCAATGTTCATACAATCATAATTATCGAGATTTATGGATATGGATATATTGTTTTAATTTACAAGATGAAAATATTTAGTTGGTATAATTAGTAACTTTGAGTATGTATTTAAACTTATGATAGGGTCTTCTGTGTCTGAAAAAATTCTAATTTTTAAAATTTAAAAAGACCTTAAAAATATATTATCTTTTATTTATCATATTGAAATATTTGAAGTATTTGGCAACAAACAGCCACCATTCATCCATAATTTTTTTATATACAATATGCACTAATTAAATATCAAAATATATTTCTGTGATGTTTCCGAGATAAAATGCAGATAATGAACAGTTTATATTACAAACTTATTTCTCTGGTCCCTTGTAGTTAGTTATATCCATGTTCTACTGTAGATGTTTCAGGTGGATATGTACAATGCCTGACCAATATGACCTATTAGACACTAAAGCCTTTGAGGGGCGGTCTGGTAGCCTAGTGGTTAAAGCGTTCGCTCGTCACGCCGAAGACCCAGGTTCGATTCCCGACATGGGTACAATGTGTGAAGCCCATTTCTGGTGTCTCTAGCCGTGATATTGCTGGAATATTGCTAAAAGTGGCGTAAAATCCAACTCACTCACTCACTCACTTAAGCCTTTGACAGACATTAAACATGTTTATAAGGGCTTTATAACTCATGTTACATGTGGCTTTGTTCAAAATATGTCATTGTTCTACCTAGAAGTGAATGGGTATATAGCCAGTAGGATGAGATGGTAATGTGTTTGTTAACCATCTTGCACCTCATAATAGGCAGCTTGGGTTTTATACTCCCCAGGGAGCTGAGAATTACATTTGAGAGCACACTGATCCATTGACTGGGGTAATAAACTTGTTGCGCTAAGAGCACACTGACAGGCATGGAAATTGGTGCCACAGAAATGTACTCATTGTTATCATTATTTTGCTTTTTGGATTTGAATAATGTGAGAAGGCTGTGTTGGAAATAATAAAGCACACTTTCTGGTTTCCTTGTATTGAATTTAATCTAGAGACTGATAGATCTTTAAAAAGGGCTGTTGGGTAGCCTAGTGGTTAAGGCGTTCGCTCGTCACTCCGAGGACCTGGGTTTGATTCACGACATGGGTACAATGTGTGAAGCCGATTTCTGGTGTCCCTCGGCATGATATTGCTGGAATATTTCTAAAAGGTGTGTAAAACAAATTCACTCACTCACTCACTCACTCACCAACCCACTCACCAACCCACTCACTCACTCACTCACTCACTCACTCACTCACTCACTCACCAACCCACTCACTCACCAACCCACTCACTTACTCACTGACTGCTGTTAGAGTTTTGACATAAAGATTGTGTGACAGGAACCCTTAACTTTCATTCTTCATTTTGAACACTGGTTTATTATATAGCAGAGAGAAGCTGCTGTAGCATTTTTATAACATGGTTCATGTTTTCTGGGGCTTTAGCATTACTTATATATCAATAATGGAGGCAAAAGTAGCCATCTAGACGGAATGGACAGTATCACTTTAAAAACTTCTTCCTAATGGTGTTTTGTTTATTCAGATCAGCGAGATGAGAATGGAGATGACACCAGCAGCAACAGCGAATCGGACACAGACATTTCCTCGGAAGGGTGTGGGTCACCCCGTATGCAGAGAAAACGCCGTCAAAAACACTTCCGTGCTGAAAAAGTGGACAGGAGCATTACCTTCAGAACCCTGGATGAGCTGCTCTATAATGACAATTTGCCTGAGGTATGTATATCTTGTTACTGATGGTCATGACAGAATCTTTAATGAGCTTATCCAAGCATTATGAGACAGAGAAACAGGACTCCATCAGATTGAGCGTTGTAATTCAGAAGGATTTCAATTATCTTCCAGGCACGACTTCATGTGAATAATTACTATCACAACATGATTGTGACATTTTGCATTGAGATATGTTTCGGGGGTTGGGTTTTAGTACTTAAATGATAAGACTCAAGGGTGACCTATTAGTTATGAGCATTTAGTTCCCAAAGATTTAAGTTTTGTTTAGCGAGAATTATTTAACTGTAAGAATTTGGTGTTGTACACTAGCTTGACCTTAGTTGATTGGCATGACACACTTCAGGCTCCTGGATAGTGACAGGAACATCCAGGGTGAAGGATGAAGAATCTGTGTCTACTTGTGGTCTACCTTAGCAGTTCAATTTATCATAACAGATTTGGGGGCATGGGTGGCCCAGTTGTCGAAGGTACCGATATTTGCAGAATTGTGTCCCTTGGGCGTTTGGAAAACCTAGACCGTTGGTTCAAATCCCGGTCCGCCCGATTATGTTTCTAGGTTTGTCAGCTTCGTACCCATGCTCGGGGTTTCTCCAAAGTGGTAATCGTCTGGGACCTGCATCGCGTGATATAACTGGAATTCTTTTCAAAGCAATGTTAAACACAACTCACTCACTCATTCATAACAGGTGTAAGTTGTTTGTGAAACAGGTTCAGTTTGAAACATGGGTGCTCAAAAGGTTTAACTGGCACCAGTTATTGCAGTTTCCTCTCCATTCCCTTGCCTGGTTCTCCCATTCTTTTTCATTACCTGTTTACCCCTCCTACCATCTCTGCCCACACTCTCAGCCCATGCCCTCTCCGTCATCCCTATCTGCATTGCATGCCAACTTCCAATGGCCTTATTCACACTTTGCTTTCTCTCATTCACAGACAGGGAAGTGGCCATGCACTATGTGCCCTGATTCTGAGTCAGAATAGGTCACCAGTACCTCATGCTTGCTGTAAGAGCAGATTCACATGGCAACGGTAGATATTGGTTTTGAAAATTGGGATGCATACTTCCCAAACACTTGCTAGAGGGATAGAGACAGGTTGAGGTTAAGGCGACTTAAAAAAACAGCAACCCTGGATATGCTAGTGCCCGCTTCAGGATATGCCAGTGCCCGTTTCAGGATATGCCAGTGCATGGGGATTGGGCTCTGTGTCCTGTCTGATTGTGTCATTGTATCCTGACCTCCAACATTAATAAAGCTGGAAATAAACGACAAACACAGAATAGAAGACACAAGGGATAACTGGTCTGCCTATGATATCCATGGCAATGAGAGTACTGAAACAGCTACATTGGAAACTGTTATCTTCCATCTTGGGTCACTTCCATACATATTGTCACAACATCACTAGACGCAAAGTTTAAAAGATTTAGCAATACAAGAGGGGTTATGAGTCATTGTTTGTCTTTGACCAACAGATTGATGAGCTGTCCTATCGTAAGTTGCCAAAGACCATCATGAGGCCAGTAGGTATGGCGCCTAAATGGGGACTATTTGCCTTCTTTGAAACAGAAATAACATAAGTACACAAAGCCTTTATGTCCCATGTGATAAAGTATAGACAGTTCGATTGCTTCTTATCAAATCCGCCAGTGTCCACGATCTCCTTTCAGCAAAACACATTGATCAAGGAATAAACATTCTCTTTTCTTAGGGATAAAATTTCCTGTTTATGTACAAATCCAGGGAGGGTTTTTTATCCTATGATATAATGCAAGTGATAAGAGCCCATTACAGATGACAAGGGTTGTGCACCCTGATGATGCGATAAAGACGTATCTTTGACGCTTGATTACTTAGTGGTCTTCCAAACTGCCCACGAGACTAGAGAACCACAGTAATTACCGTCTCATAATTCGGAATCCATTTTGGGTGAGACTTCTGTAATATTCAGCCAGGCCTTGGAGGAGATTGGTCAGCCAGTGTATCAGGTGTGTGACAAAACAATCTATATGGTGGTGTTCCCTTGGGGAGACACTCTCATAGGTCACTGAGCCTGTTGTCAGGCCCAGAGGGCTTTCTTGCATCAACGGTGACAAACCAAAGCCAGTGTTTAGCTGTACCCAAACCAGCCCAACCTAAGACATATTACTTCTTTTCAGTTTTTTCACTGAGGCGGCTTCTGTAGAATTGACCCTGATTGGATTGCTCTGTGCTGTGACTCCAATCTTGCTCAGCAGTTTTCCTCAGGGACAACGCTCTTCAATATATGTGCAAGATCTTTGTGGTTTTTCAATCTTTACGATTAATTGGGATATCTTGTGGACATTTCATGTCAACTGTTTCAAGTGTGTTAATGAAATTTTGAGGGTAACCGACCAGGATGGAGTCTTGAAAAATTCTTTGCACGTAGAAATGATCATGCAGACACACAAAACAATTGTCCATTAGGGAATTAGTGCGGTTACTTGGAGGATACATTGTAATGTTTGATTGTTTCAACCGGTGGTGGATTCAGAGTCAGAATTAGAAGCCAGCACCTCTCGCTTGTCATAAAAAGCAGTTCAAAGCAGGTGGAGTAAATGATATGCAGGGAATAACCAAAAGAGCAACAGGGAATTAAGGAATATATCTCACTTTCACAAGGGACATATAGTGTTCAAGTTCAAGTAGGTTATACCTATCTAAAGAAACTGAAGAAAGAGGTATGAAATTTAAGACTTATGAAGAATCTTCTCTAATGGCAATACCTATTTGAAACCTAACCTTTGGTCCAAAACATCTCCTTACTTAGTATCATTAAGTACATACATATGTCTTGAATTTAGAGATTCATATTCACATGATATTTTGAGCCTAGAATTGGGTGCCTTTGTGTACTATATCCTCTGCACAAAATAAGAAACACAAAAGTGATGTTGGATGTATATTTTATATATAATATAAGTTATCAACAGATGGTAATCGATTGTTCAAAATTGGCTCACATCATTGTCCTTGACATAGGTTCCATATGGCACACATGGAACAGTAGATTTTCATAGGTGAAGGTCATATGTTCTCAATATCTTGCATGGCCACCTTAGTAAATAACTTACTGGCATCGTCGTCCCATGGAAACAATGTTTTTTTATGATTCTGTGGTGATGATTGGTTTCAACAATGATCACAAAATAATTTTTCCTTCTGAAATATAACCACACTTTGTCACAATCAGTAACTGTGGGTGCAGATTCTAAGAAAAGAGGGGGCAGGGGTGGCCCAGTTGTCTAAGGCGCCATGATTCGCTGTGCAGAGGTATGCACGCCAGAAAGCTATGATTGTGTGTTCGAATCCAGGTTCGCCCCTATTATGTTTCTAGGTTTGTCAGCACCATACCTGTGTTCGTGGGCTTCACCGAAATGGTAAATGTCTGAGACATGCATCACTTTGGGCTTTCCTCCCACATTAAGCTGACATGCCGTGATATAACTGGATTAATGTTAAAAGGATTATTAAACCCACTCACTCACTCACTCACTCACTCACTCACTCACTCACTCACTCACTCACTCACTCACTCACTCACTCACTCACTCACTCACTACCACATTAAGCTGACATGCCATGATGCAACTGGATTAATGTTAAAAGCATTATTAAACCCAACTCACTCACTCAGAAAAGAAAAGACATGGATTAGATAACTGAATTTGAACTGTTTTAATAAGTTGTGCTTTTATTGACCCAGACAGGTAATGTATAGCATTACACTGTTAGTGCGAAAAAATTCCAGAGGTTTTCTGTAAAAAAACATTCTCATCCAAAATCTCTGAGGAGATCAGTGAGATTAAAGAAAGGAAATAATAATCACACATGTTGAACCAAAAGGGTTGGCCCCTTCAAGTCCTAGATAGAATGACTCTAATGTAACTTTCTATGTCCCTCTATTGACTACTCAGACTCCACCTCTCTTATCACTTGCATTTGCTACAAACAAAATAGCAACACCCAGTCAAGATGATCTGATTGATAATCCAGATTATTTTTTTTCGTAATAAAATGGATCTTACCTAGCAAAGTACATTAAATCACTTGAGCACCTTGAACAAAACACAAAGATTTGGAAAACACATATCAACTCCTTTTCTCATGCTCTGCAAATCCTGCAATTGACCAAAATCTGCATGGCCAGTCGCCATTTTTGATTTGACTATGCTTAATTCCAGCCTAGTTTTGAGAGGTGGAAACTGGACTATAGTCAGTTAATTCCCTTGCCTTGGGATGATGTCCTTTAGGATGAGATTGCTTGTTTTGGAAAACAAGTATCATTTACAAAAAGCAGTTGACAACTATGTCTATACAGGGTATGAAACTCCCCAAAATTTCAGCCAGACCACAGGACTGGCTGGCTGAAATACTTGCCAGCCCTGACCAAAACCTGCCTGCCCACTATAATCATATGTTTCTCAGGATAAGCTAACGGGGTTTCTTTTTGGTTACATTTTATCATTCATCTTTACATGTGAATTAATGCTTATCATTGGGAAATATTTAGAATATTTTCACATATGAAATATAACCTGACCGTCGGGCATGGGGATTTGAAAATCTGGCAGCCCGAGTTGAAATCAACCCGTCTCGGACGGTCGGGCAGGCAGGTATTTCGAACACTGGTCTATATTATGGTTGAAGAAACACAGAGGAGCTTGTTCAGACAGCATGGTTTCCCTGTGCCATTCGAAATGGAGAGGAGCATCCAGTTGGTTATAAACTGTCATTATTTACTTTGGGTATTGATAGTTGTCTTTGGGAGTCAATCTATTTTTACCTCCTTGGGTCCATTCCTTTGGGTATTTTCAGACATAATCATGCTTTTAACACTGTGTAGACTTCTAATGTTAATCTGTCCTTGTGCTGCCCCAAGTGTGTCACATATGGCATAAGCTCACAACAGTGATACATATATAAGTTACTGTAGGCGAGCAAAGCATTTCACTGCAGCAGAGT